ATGCATGCGTCCTCGGTCTCAATTTTCCCGCATTTAAACTCGTTGGATTGCGTTTCATATTATCATCCTTGGGTCAAGAACAACAAAACACKGGAATTACAGTCAATTAGTTTGTTTGGTGAGAAGTATTTTTCTTTGGGGGGAGGGGTGGTCGGTCCAATGCCCCGCGATGGCAGACATCAACACTATGACGTCACCGGAAACACGGGTCATTACTGAATAAGGCCTTTGAGGTTTCCTGTGTATTGGCGGTGTTTACCATATTGCAYAAGCTCATCTGAATGTTGAGTCTGTAGGAAACTAGAACTATCTCACTAAATGCTAACCATGATTTATAATCTTGTTGCCTTTAAGGAAGAASARGCCGAGAAGCAACGAAACATGGAAAACGAACATCGGAAGAAAGGACGGCGGAAGCGGGAAATCGAACAGGAAACCTCGAGTCCTGAGTCGAGTGACGACATCGAGAGAGACTATAAAGGGGTAAGATTCTATCTTCCTTCGTAGCTACAATAAAATAGAAGAATTAAACTTGTGAAATATTTGATCAACTAGCGATCTAAGTACTCTTAGTACTCGTCTATTGTTTTTCTTACTAGTAGATTTTGTTATCAATACACCTTAGTAGTCYYTAATTYMATKGTSTCCTTTGTRTGACTATCACAMCTTGRCAATTTGATTTTGTTATTGCGCTATACAACTAATYCTCTAATTCCATTGTTTTCTTTTGTGTTTATTCGATCATTACATCTTGATTATTTTATTAGATTAATACACYTCGTTTATTGAACTATTTCACTTTCACCTTTAGATTTTGCTCTCTATGATTATTATCAAATAGTTTTAAAAGATGTAATGTCTAAATATAGATATATTAGTCTCTTTCGGATTCTACGAATTTGAAATCTTTACAGGCCTCATAACTCAGTTGTAAACGAGCTACATAAGTGAGTAATAAATAGTGACATTAAACCCGTGAAACTGTTAAATTTATTCTAAAGAAAACTAAAACCTCAAAGTGCGCACCCGTGAAATATAAACTTCATTACTTTTTATTTTGCACGTTTTAATTTGTTTTTAATATTATTACCCTTGGACTATTGCACTTCATTTCACGAGTTTATGGTGTATATAAATCTAATAGACGTGTTTTCACGGCTGACTATGAAATGCCCACTTAGACTGATTTCCATCGTCTGTAAAAGAAAATGGCTGTCTAGTTCGTGCTAATTGTCAAAGGACAAAGGAAATTATATGAATCTATGAGWCTGAAGTCTACTACTAACTCAGTAATACCTTGGCTTTATTTTTCACGGATTGTAGAAGATCACGATATTCACTATCCATTTTTTTTAAGTATAGTAAGTAGAATTCATTTAAAAGTTTAGTGAAAATTACTCCAACAAAGCATAATTGCCAGGTGTGATAGTCAAACAGTCACAAAATATTCCAGTTTCTTATTGAACAATGTGTTTACACAGGCTTGCTCTCTATTCAAAATTGTCTTTCTTTTGTGCGTCCGGTCCATCCAAAGGAAAAGATCTTTTGTCGTTTTTAGCCTTCGAAGAATTWCAAATGTATTTTTTYTTCTCCMATTGGCTTTTCTTAGAATAGCGTCTGCTGTCAAAAATACAGCGGTTATTTCTTTGAAACGGGAAAGAGGCTTACTTGAGTAAGACGTATTGGCCTGGTTTTGTTTCACGGGTTTCCAGTGTATTTTACGCAAGGCTGTAGTCGACTCTCGTTATAACGGACACCTTCGGACATMTTCGCATCGGTTTGTTCGTAATAATGGGGGCCCGTATTATTGCGGTGTCTGCAAGCTGATAGTWTATTGTGTTTTGGCGCGAACCATTTAGCGAACTTCCTGCTGTCACTATGGTGTACTTAAAACTTTCCGGTATTTACTTTGACTTGGATATACTAGATTAACTTACCTGAAGAATAACTTGGAATAGTCTTTTGTGTCATATGTTTTTGTCTGGAATTTGTCGTTTTCCATCTTTTTATTAATCATTCTCGCTTCTCTTCTTTTTCTTTGATTTTTCTYTTTATATTTATTGTCTTATCTCTCGTCGTCTGCTCCAAATTGTTCTTTTTTATGTCTATCTGTCTAATCTCTCTTGTTAAACGCGGCCTGCACTTGCTTCCTTTGTACTCTCCATATCTCCAGCCGTACGAAGAGACAAGACAGAGACATACGTGGCCGTTCAAACTAAAAATACTTTTTTTGCCACAGGAAAATGAAGATTTGGAAAATCGAATCTCTGATGAATTGGATCAGCAGGAAAGTCTTTTGTCCGCTGAGGATCTGCAAGGTGACATGATGCCGAGAACAAGACGTAAATGTGTTATCATGCGTGAACAGGCTAAGAAGAAAAAAGAATGGTGGGAAGAGGAAGGGATTGGGTCTGATCTAGAAGACGACGAAGACATAGGTACATATAAACCCAACAACTTTGTTGTTGTACACTTGCTTGTTGTGCCTTCCTCTTTTTTACTTAAAACTATTTTTAATAATAGCAAGTTTAAAGTTCACTTATGTATCGGATTCTAGTAGTGTATTGTATTGTATGGAAATTTGTTTGTTAATAAAAAGTTTTGTTTAAAAAATAGGTACATATAAAACCTTTTAATGATCTATTTTACACTGTGTTAGCAGCCTCTAAGGGTCTGTTCACACTGTGACATAAGCAGAAGCGGAAGAAGTGTATTTTAATTGTATGTGTGAACCAGGGAAAACAGAAGCAGAGACAGAAGTAGATGAAAATGAAACCTTTTTTCATTTTCTTCTGCTTCTGTTGGAGGATTATGAGTTTGAACCGGGACATCACAAGCTGAAGAATATGCTTCTGTAAAGTGTGAACAACAAGCTCCTGCATCTATTTTATACCTATATTTCTCACTCTCAAACAGCTGTTATTTTCACTATAAATAGAGAACAAAACTATGAAAACCTAAGGGACTGTTGTCACTAGCACAGTTATAATCATAAGCATAGCAATAAGTAACAAGCGTGTTTGCTTTATTTGTGCTTATTCCTATGCTTATGTGCTTATGTCGAGTTAGAACGCGCTGTGCGATTATATGAGTCTTTATGTTTTCTTCAATGAGAAATGAATATGTATACTTGATAAAATGGTTATTGTTGTAGTTTATTAAATGCATACTTGTCTTGTTTAGATTCTGACAGTTCCGACGGTCCAAGACGACGAAAAAAGAAGCCCAAACTCATGAGACCAGCAGACCCCCCCGGACCCATGAATAGAACGTACGTATTCTCTACTGTCCTAGCTAACCGTGCAGCCGAGGCCGTACAGCAAGGAAGAGTCGAGAGCATCGTTTCTTTTCACCGTGCACAGCAAACTACCTCTCCTTATTTACGATTAGAGAAAGGACGGACATTCGATAAAAACTACGATCAACAAAAAGCGTATTTTTCACAAGGATATCAGCAGCCCGGCATGGGGGCAATGATGTCTCGGGGATATGGAAGAATACCCGGTATGCTCCCCGATGGTAATACGGGATCCGGTGGTCGTGGTGGGTATAATCCTGGTCAATGGCAGCAATTTCAAATGCAGCCGCCTTACATGAAGGAGCGTCAGCAGCGTCAGCCCGTCGATGACTTGAGTCAAATATTATTTGGAGGTGCCGTGAATGGAAATGGTCAAAACCAASCAGCCCCGGGATCGTTCACCCAAAGGCCCGGTATGTCGGGACAGCAATATGGGTATCCTCAACGAATGGGRTCCCAACAACAACCATATCAAGACAGTCGTGTCCAGGAAGGATACCGTCAACCATTCCAGCAAGGCTATAACCAACAACAGCAATACTTCCAAAGACCGAGGAACCTTCCTCAGCTTCATTCTCCAGGAGGTCAATCTCCCTCGTCTGATCCACTGGGTGCTAACGTTCGTTCCCCGCCACCGCCCTACCCAGGGGCACGATCGGGGGAAAGCAGACCACCACACCACATGGGAAATAGTCCGGCAGCWGTACCCTCCCCTACGAGTACWGGATCTCCACAAACACCACTGACGCCTCACACTCCAAGATTCCCTGGCGCTGCTCCTTCGCCTGGAGAACCTTCAAAACCRCCCTTCTCGCCAACCAATCCTCAACAGTCGAACTATTCGGCCGGTACTTTTCCTGGAGCRCAACGACCCGGTAGCGAAAGTAGTGGATCGGATACCGGAGGGGAAGGACGGGGTTTTGTAGACTTAGGCAGTAAAGGATATCAGAATGCAACGTCTTCTCAACCACAGAGTTACCCTGGAATGGGAGAAAACAATCAAGATAGTTCCCTTCAGTCGCCGACAGAACCTCGCACGATGGGCACGAACAAAAGCCCTTTTCTAGCTGCGACCCAAGGAATGAGTTCAATCCCTGCTTCCATGCCTAAATCGTTTTCTGTAGAGAGTCTAACTGCTCCCAGTGTACCTTCGGACCACGCCGGACATCCCCTAGCCCCCGAACAACAGATGGGACCGTACAGCGGTATCTACTACCAGACCAAATACCAACCACCTGCAATGTATGGCGGTCAGCGGTATCAGTACCCCTCGACGATACAACACACTGGATCGTTATACAATCCACAGCTTTCATCCAATATGTATTTTGATCGAGGCTCAATGCCAGTTTACCCCCCCGGAAGAGAACCAGGTTTATAGGCAAGCATTAAGGGGTCAGGGGGAGTGAATCTCACGGTCGTCTATATATATTCTGGCCACCGTAGTTAGGCTGCGACGAAGGTTTTTTTCTGGGAAGTCGTGGCTTATTTTTTGAAGTGTATTCATCGTACAGGATTTTGGAAGTGGTCATCTCCTTTGGAGGTTTATTTATCACTCATTCGTAGTCTACAATGGCGTTTTAGTTTTATCAATATGCCTGCGTCTGTACTTTTTATTTCAAAGGACATTATACGAATACTGAACGGTAACTGGAGAAGTCCAGAGCTGTGTTTTATATCGTTGGTTGCCAACTACACTTGGACCGTTTTTTTTTATTACAGCACTAGTGTATCCGCTGTCCATTTGTAAAGAAGGCTCGGATATATCCGCTGTTCACTTGTACTGCAGACTTTTGTATGTCTACTTCCAGTTGTAATTCAGACTCTGGTGTATCCGCTGCCTGATGGTTAATGCAGACTCAATTAAGTGGGTTATGTTAAAACCCTTGTTCACATTCATTCACATCAATTCTCGTCGTTAAGTTTAAGACAAGATTTTAATTTCAGACTAAAATTTCTTAGTGATTTGGTTGCTTGTCGCTATTCATTTTATGAAGTCTAGTGCCAAGCTTTGTACTTTTATATGATGTAAAATTGCAATCGCTTTTTATTAGTACATATGGTAGATTCTATTCTTTTTGTTATTCCATAAAATGCCCAAATAAGGGCAGTTCTAATTTACGTATTAATGCCCATGACGTCATTACAGTCAATGTCTTAAAGCTGATACCACGGTATTTGGTGTCAGCGTTCAACTCACATTGAAACGATTTGGTAATTTGACGAAACAAGTAAAAACTATTTCAAATGTAAGAGCAAGTACTAGGAAAAAGATTTTTGTAACCAATTTATACTTAAAGAGTTTTATACCAAGCTCACTTATAAAGTGAATGGGCAACACCTTCTATCAAATTTTGGACTTCCTGTGTAATTCTCCTTAGTCTAGTCGCCAGCTTTTGGCTCCGAGAATACACAGGGAGCCCAAACMCTGAGTTGARAGCTCTATTCTCGCTTTATAATGAGCTATGGTATTATAAGTTTTAACGAATGTCTATGAAGGGGGATCGGTGAATTCATTGGTCCAATAAATGTCCAATCTAATGTTATGTGTATCTTGAATATAAAAGGTTGTTTTAATTAAACTAACCAGAAGAAATCTTGTATTTAATAGAAAAAGACACTTTTTTCAGTTAAATGTTAAAAATATGTAAAAAATATGCCGTTAATATTGTGGATTTTTTGGTCTTAAATGACGTCATTCTCATGCACAAACCCTTTTCATCTTCCGACCAAACAGTGCCTCGAGCCCAGAGTCTTCACAGCTAATGTCAGCGGTATGTAGGCGCATTGATATCCACTGGATGGCAATCTCGAGCCCAGAGTCTTCACGGCTAATGTCAGCGGTATGCTGACTCCGGATGGCAAAAGTGTGGGATCTGGGTACGAGATTGACTGGATGGCAAAAGTGCGGGCTCTGGGTACGAGATTGGTTGGACCAAAATAGACCGCGAGAGTAGGGACTAGGCACGAGAATGTAGAATGTCTCAGTGATTCGTACCAGGACCCGCTCGTGGCAGAAAGACACCCCTGGGTACTAGGCTGCGTTATTCTGCGTTTGTTTTGCTATTTTGTTTGCGTTCTCGTTTCTTTTYGATTATTTTTCATTGTTCGTTGGTATTCTTTGTTTATTTAGGTTTCACAGGTCTCATGCAGTTAAACAGTTATTGTCATACACACCTGTAGAAAGGCAATTATTTTTGTATGATAAATAAATCATAGAACGACATAATTCATTTTCGCAGACAAAAATGTAGCGAAAAATATTCCGTCTTCTCTTCATTGATACATCACTGACAACTTATAATTAAGACTTCATTCTTCAGCTTGATACCTTTTCATTATCATCTTCAAAACGCTTCAATCTTTTAGATATATGTTTGCATTGCGTAACATTTGATTCCAAACATTTCTTGACTTAAGTTTATTAGATTCATTTAGCCAATGCAACCCACAAATAGTACATGGATTTCCAAGTGCGAAAACCCAATCGGAATACTTGATAACAAAGCAGCTTTAGTAATAATGTGCCCACTTCGTTACAATTGAAACTGAGCCTGAAAGAAGCTTTTTTTGAGCTGAAAAACATGAACAAAGAAGGCTTAACAATGCCGAATCTACAGTATCCTAAGTTTATTAGATATTTGTGAGATTGACACAGGTGCATCTGTTTTTAAAAATAATGTTTTTATTTTCAATGCTGAAGTGAGAGCTTTGCATTTCTTTTCGGGCGCCACAACCATAAGACTTCAAAGTTAACGTGAAGAAGAATACGAGAACTGCGCGGAAAGCAAGGCGAAAGATTTAACGTCCACATATCTGAGGTATAATGGATTTAAGTCCAATTGTAAAATCTTTGATAGCTTAGGTAAGATATCAATGCATTTTTTATCCATTACGATGTCTGAGAACTGATAAAATGAAGCAAAAATGTGTGTATTTGCGTGGTGAAGTCGTTATGGGTGGCCATTTTGGGAACCCAAGAATTTTTCCATTATAACATCGTTTGGATCTATTAGTTTATGGATGAGAAGCTGCAATTTTAGATATATATTAGATGGTTTGTTATAAAGTAGACAGTGCTGATGAATTCTACCGATTTGAAAAATTAGTGCCATTTAGAGGGTAATTGAAAAAAAAACAAGTTGAACTTTTATACAAATTTTTGAAAGGTATATATGGAAATCATGTGTTCATTTTCTATACCAGCCTTTCAACTTCCTATACAAACAAATCAAGTGACACGTCTTTATATTACCAAATATTTACCCTTAATTCAATCATGAATATTGTTGAACCTTCAATTGTGTTTTGTTTTTTGTAACCCAGCTTCTTTTATCCAGATTTCTATTTCCCCAAGTTGTATCAGATTCAACTGAAGTCTTCATTTATCGGTCTTTAAGTCGCGAGGTAATTTGAAGATTACAAACTTTACTTTTTCCTCTTTTATCCCCTTTCAGAATCCCACCTTTATTTCCTTCTTACTTTCGTCCTTTTTTTTGAAAAATAAAACAGAGAAATTCCATCCATTATTCACTGAAGTGAAATGGGAAACCGCGTTTTTTTTTTCTCAAATCGAGATGTAGATGTAATCGTTGACATTTCTTCAATTAGAAGAAACGGAACTTTACGTTCCTGTCCTCAAAAAGAAAGCGACAATCTCAATCATTACAAAGATTGAAAAATATTGAAACTAAAACTGATAAGACCATTGAGCTTCTTAGAAGTCTTATAATTACCCCAAGCTACGTATTTAATGATTCTTATTTTAATCAATTTTTTTCCATTCAGTCTATAGTCCAAGCCAAAATATCAAGCCTATCGTTTGGCACAACAGCTGCTACCAAGGAACAGATCTGATCCTGACACGAAAATATCGAAACAGGTATATAGCTTCAGCTAAAGCTGTTACTGCAGAGGAACGGTCGCACCCTGATGTCTGGTCGAAAAAGAGGCGTTTTCAGTTTTTATCGGTTGCGAGGCATGCATTTGTGTTTTCATTAATTATTTCAGTTTTGTGAGCTTGTAGCTTTAAAGGATATCATCAAAATTCGTTTCTAAAATTTTATATATTCTGTATTTCAGAAATGAATATCAGCAATTCAACCAACTTCACCACCTCAAATACAAAGCGAAACCTCCCTTTGTATTTTTATCGAAGTCAAGCAACAGTCATTGCGCAGGTCACATCTCTCGCCATATTTGGTATCATCACATTGCTAGGCAACCTGGCCTCCATCATCACCTTCGCTAAGACCCAGTCTCTTCGCAGGCGCTCAAACTACATGATTATCAATCTTTCTCTTGCTGATTTAACAGTATCCATCGTTATTTTCATGGTGGCGTATTTTTTCTCCCTCGAGCCGTTCACACAATCGCTATCTTTTGTTTACGCCTTAAACACTGTCGATACATTTACAGGTACAGCGTCTCTACTCGGTCTGACTGTTATTTCAGTCGAGCGATTTTATGCTATCGCGTTTCCTTTTAAACACAGGATGCTGCGTTTTAAGAATCTTCTCTGCATGTGTCTTGCACCGTGGCTTTCYGCYGCAGTACTCGCTTTSACATACATCGGGTTAGATTTTCCAGGAAYAGGCGAAAAACKAGATCATTACCAGATTGCTCGTGTTTCTTTTCTCTGCTTGTCACTCACGATCATGATTGTCTCGTATCTCGGTATTTGGATGAAGAGTCGTCACGCTAACCCMAGTGCGCAAAATCAGAATCGCACATTACGTGACAAAAAGCTGTCACTCACGCTCTTCATCGTCACGCTCGCATCATTGTCAACATGGCTTCCCTACCAATTGTATTTCATTTCTGTGATTTTTGGTAAGGTTTCACTRCCTCATTTTAATTATTTTTTCGCCATGAAGTTTCTCCAGTACGTCAACTCGGCGATAAATTTCTTTATCTATATTCTGCGCATGCGTGATTTTAGGRCAGGATTTTTCGCYATWTTCTGCGGTAGACGAGAGAAAAGTCGGCGAAACCAATCCACCAGCTCGTCCAACATGAGCAGAATGACATCTATTCGAGAACTCACCTCGACAAGCAACTTAAGCCTTAATTTCACCAAGCACAGAGCATATGTTGTCAATAATGAAGTCGTGGTGACCGAGGGAGAACTGGGAGCTAGTTCACTGCAATTACAAGATTTTAAAATGAAATGACATATAATAGTTTCATTGAAACACAATGCTTGAGCTAGCTATGAAAAATAAGTGTGGTAGTTATGAAGTAATAGTTCTCTGAAAGGACCGTTGCCGAACGGTATACAGTGAGGTCGTGCATGGCTCAGATTTCACCATGGATCATAAAAAAACTGTCTTTTTTATACAAGATTTCGCATTTTCAGAAAATCGGCCATATATTGATATGGATTCAAATAACTTTTAAATTTCCGCAGTCGTTTCACCATCCGTCGGTTTTATGACCGCCAATCTTACAATTCACAATTCTTTGACCATAGAAAAGTTTTCACCTATGTTATATACCAGGTATTTTTACTTTCAAAACAGACAGACAAAGCTCGTAAGGATGCCAGTTTTAAAATGTGAAATAAAGTTGAACGTGAGAGTCTTCCCGACGAAAATGCATTTCGATATTAATTATAAATAACCTATCTTAACTAGTCAATGTTTCTTAAGCTGAATACATAATCTTGTATATATAATTCCCTAATGGAACAACTTTATCTTTTTATTTAACGATTTAAGTGTTTGGTGTGATTAAAAACCGTTGACTTTCGACTCGTTGAAGAATGTGATTTCGTATGTGTTTGATATATGAAAGCCCCGTCCATGTGAACATAAGAATCTCTCTGCGATTCTCAAATACGAAAACTGTCCATCTTTGATGTTTTGAACCAATAAGAAAGCACTTTTCAACAAGAGATCATTTGTAAAAATCATTTGTAAAACAAAAGAAACATTCGCAGAGGTTCTTAGATCCTCGTGGACTTTGAACCTTTTTGATTGAGTCATCAGTGGATACAATACAAATCATTAATTATTGACGTTTATTGATTCTACATTAAAATCAAATACATGTTAATTAATAGCTCAAAATAATATCTATAATTCTGGTAAAGTTTAATAAAACTATCTTGCTGTTCTTTTTTTTTTTCATTTGAAATTTCCCGTTTGGCTTTAATACTCTTCATTTTATAATATGTATATGTATTGAAATCTTCAATTTGCCTTCTTTATATTCAATGTCTAAGAAACTTCCATCCAGTTGATCTGAAACTAAAAGTAAAGTTAAAAAACTATACATTAATTGGAGGGAGTCATGGATTTGTAGGCGTGTGAATTCATACAAGTACGTAATGAAACGTAATACAAGTACGTAAAGAAACGTAATACAAGCACGTAATGAAACGTACTGGAYCTCGTTAGTCTTTTTTTCTTYTATCTTTTCGTTGTATCACAGTTTAGGTATACGTTGACTATCATACACTTTGTTTCATGGGTTTTGTGGGTTTTGTTGTGCACTACATCCGTGAAACAAAAAAAACGTACTACTGTATTTTTGTGTTATGTCCAATAGTCTCTTTCACGTTTCTCTGCGTCATCTTGAGAGATAGCCAGCTCTTGTCATCGAAGCGAGACAACCGCAATAATAGATAATACCTGTGAATAATTGTCTGTTGGTGTGAAAAAACGTTTCTATCGTTGCACGCTCAACGGCTGTCTCACTTCGATGCAAAGGCATGGCTACCTTTTAAAATGGCGCAGGGAACCGTGAAGAAGACTGTTCACATTTCCTTTTTTCTTCCTTTTTATTATTTTTTTTTACTCCACACAACAAATGAAGCAACATAAGTAAACGATCTCAGATGAAAACAAAAAATGGCTAACAAATAAAATAACAGATTAGGAAAAAACCACTCACTTAAGATTATTTCGCTATTACACTTTTTAGACTTCTTTTCCTTATCTGAAAATATAACGAGAAATACATGTATCAACTTGAACAAAATGTCATCATACAACCGAGTAATGAAACTTCTATACAGTCAGTAACGAAGAATAAATATCATTATATTGGGTGCGTCACCCGTAATTTCATGTGATTTTCTCTTCTTTATGCACAAATAATGTTGCATATCAATGAGACTTTTTGAAATTATGAATATTTAGTGTTATGCAAAAATATCCTGCAGTTTAATTATTGAAATATGGTTGAGCTACTCTATACATATCGATGTGTATTTTTTTATACTTTTGGGGCCGGAATTCAACTGTTATGATGAACTTAAGTGAAGTGGGTAAGAGGAAGACATACATACGAGGGCTTCCCTCATACGTTGCACGTTAAATCATATACTTTTTTTGTTTAGAACTAACCATTTTCCTGGTCGCGATGGTAAAGCGTACTTCCAACCCCATTGACCTAACAAAAAAAACAGCTTTTAATTTTACTCGTTTCTGTTTTACTCATTGTGAATGACAACAGCTACACATGTAATGAAAAGCAGTTTGATTATCAACGACCGCTAACCTAATTCTAATCGATGTTGTTGCTATTGTTGTTGTTGTTGTTGTTGTTATTTGAATTATTGTAAATGTTGTGGTTATCTTTATTGTTGTTGTAGAAGTATTAGTTGTTTGTTGTTGCTGATGCTGATGCTGTTATTGTTGCTGTTGCTGTTATTATTTGTATTGTTGTGTAGTAGTAGTAGTAGTAGTTGTAGTTGTTGT